CTATAAAAATACTACGTACAACATCCATTTGTAAATTAACAACAAAACGATAATCAATACCCGAGGGAATATAAAGTAAACTATATAAAAATAATAAATGCTACGAAATACACGATGCGCGTCTCTGTTTCCACCGCGCATAGCTATTGCAGTTTATAATGTTTCGTGTTGTTCAACTGGCGCTTGTTATACGCTTCTCGTATAAGTTGTGTATATATATATATATATCTGATTGTTTGAACAGAGTACGTTCGAAACGGATACGTTCTAAGAAGTTATAATAATATTATAAATTATCTCGTACTCAACGAAAACATTCCACGAAGCTATAACAGCATGCAAACGTACATGTTCCGCGTAAAATCGTTCAAATCATAAATATATATGCATACGTATACTTCTATATATATACATATATATGTATATATAAAAAAAGAGATAAAATCTGAACGATCTTTTACAGTATATACTGATTTAAAATTGATAACATACATACGTACACATATATATGTATATATATATATGCATTTATATATTTATATATATATATATATGTAGGCAAGTATATGTATAGTAAATTCGACGGTTTAAAATTGAATTCTTTTGCAAGCTTTTTCCCTTTACAAATGATCGATATACCTGTGCAATAATGTTTGCGAGTGGGAATCCAATTCGTCGGTTCGCCCTCGAGAAATCGTTTGAAACAAACATCGAAACAACATTATGTACGTATAAAAAATATGGCAGTAACAGTCTAAGTATTAAATTTTAAATGGAAACAACGATAAAGCCGAGCGACGACGAGTTAAAAGTGAAAACTGTAAATCTCATAGCTATCCTAATAATCCTATTTGTTAAACCGGCTCTATGTTGCTTATGCTTTAAGTACGCTAGTTGATTATTTCCGTAAAAAATTCAACGACGAGTCCTCTCACATTTCCTCTCCTTATCTCGTTACTTTGTAGATTTAACAGCTTATCAAATAATTATTATCTCTTCGTTAGGGATACTTTGAAATTCGGAAAAATCTCTATTCGTACTTAGTTTTTACCCTATTTCGAACACAGGATATGTACAGATGTTGATCGTCATTTATACTTTGTATATACATGTATATAAATTTATATATGTATATACATAAATATGTATTTGTATATATACATACATATTTATATACATGTATATACATATATGTATATATACATGGAGAAACGATTTCTTTTTTTAATACAACAATTAAGAAAAATAAAAGCATGTATATCGTTAGGATATCGAACTTGAAATTTTCTATTCTTCTATCGTTGGGGATTGTACCATTGCGCCGTTGTTACGTAACGGCTTCTTTCCTTCAAAATACACGACCATATTTTTACAATACACTGTGCATGAGTATATCCTTTATATGTATATATATATATATATAATAAATATCACGTGTTGCATGAAAGTGTATGACGAATGAAGAAGAAATCTGCCTCGAATTAAACAATATTTAAACCGACTGTGTGTGTGTGTGTGCCATTTATATTTGTAAGACATTGCGAGAGTATTGAAAAAATGAAAGGTACACGGTTTGGAACTTATCGTGGAAATTAATGTTCACCTTCCATCGAAGTGCATTTCATTGCAGACCTTTTTATAATTCATTTAAGGCACTCAATATAAATATAAAGAATTTTCCGTGGTTCTACACCCGAGGATCTTTTTACAAGTTGATTTAATAAGAGACGAAGGATTTAGCTTTCTATTCACACTATTCACAGTCGTACACCGTAGATACGACGCAAAGAAGACGAGATATAATAATAACTTAACGAAATACATAAAGAAAAAGAAATACACGATTTTAAAACCCTCTCTGTATTTATGCGATAGACTGTAAACAATGCATTTTGTACTCCTATCTAATACACACACGCTAAATGTGCTTTCGGTTCACCGTTTCCTGTCGCAGTAACAAGTAACCGTAACTACCTCCATTATTTATGTTTGCCCAGTAGTAATCGTTGTTCCAAATCCTTTCAGAATCTTTCTTTTCTCTTCGCAGTTAGAAGCGTAACGTGAAAAATACGTGAACTCGCTCAGTTGTCGTACAATACTATTGTAAACGTGTACTTCATTGTCGAAAATGAAATGCACATTTCAGAAGTTCCGCTTTTAGAAAACAGCATGGCAGAAAATTATATTTACAGATCTTAAACAACAGAAAAAAAAGAGAAAAGAAA